CTGAAGATCCTTCTGGATCTTTGGGAGAAATTTGCCTTCGTGGAGGACTTTTTGATGGAGCCCATCCACATTTGCGTTACATGGAGAGGAAGACCACGAGAACCTCCCACGGTTAGCCTGACGGAAAGAGGACTCTAACCCATGATCCGTCTACCACTGAGGATAATTCACGTCAGCACTGTGGTGCAAGCCAGATCCGGAACTCGTATCGACTGGGATTCGAACCCGGTTTGCCTCAGTGGAAGGCGAACGCTCTAAGATGATGAATTATAAAAAGCTCATACGGATATTATTTATGAATATTTTTGATTACAGTAATGAATATTTAGATCAGTGGTTACCAACTGGTGGCGGGCGGCATCCGGCCCGCGATAACTTTTTTTGTGGCCCGTGAACTAAAATATATTAGTTGTCATTTTTTGCCGACAATTTTCGTAAAAACTCTATATGGGTTTTAAATACTTTTCTTTCGTTAAAAAAACCTAATTTCTTTGTTTTTGTGAAATTCAACATACCAACGGTGCAAAAGATTTTTTGTTCTCAGGTTTTGTATTCAAGGTTTTGCAATTTTCAGGTTTTGCATCTAAGAAAATATTTATTCAAATACAAAAATAATCGTGCATGTCGCCCTTTTTTATTTAGTTTTTTTTGCACTTTATGAATATAATTTAGCATGTGCGTATCAAAAATTTTTTATATTTAATGTTCCTTCAAACATAAAAGAGTCTTATATAAAATTTTGATAAATTTGCGTACCGCTATTTGACTGGTGTTTTTAATTGCGGCCCCCGGCTTTATGTAAGTTGGAAACCCTTGATTTAGATTATAAAAATAGTGATAAGTTCAAATTAATAGCAAAGAGTTATTTATTTCGAATTTTTGCTTACTAGTTAATGACATTCTTCGAAGTTTCTACGCCAAGAAACATAAAAAAAAACTCAGTTTAGGTGCCTTAAACACTAAGCAAAGCTTTAACTACGAGCTGCATAAGATACTAGAATACTTTAGGATATTTAGAATACTAGAAGAAATCTTTTTGAACCTAAACTGATAAATATCTTAAATATTAAAAAAAATTCTTTAATTTTATAAAAAACTGTCAATGAATCAATTTGTTTTTATTTGTCTGAAAACATTAAAATCAGTAATTTTTAAATTACTGCATATTTCGATGAGCTCTGACTTTGTAGATTTTGATTAAATTTTCACACATTAATAGGAACTAAGAGGATGATTTATAAAAATTTCATACGGATATTATTTATGAATATTTTTTAATGCAGTTATGAATATTTAGAAGATAAAAATGGCGGGAATTTCAAATTAATGGTAAAGAGTTATGGAATTAGAAATTTTGCTTACCGGTTAATGGCGTTCTTCGAAGTTTCTACGCCAAGAAACATAATTAAAAACTCAGTTTAAGTGCCTTAAACTCGAAGTGAAGCTTTAATTTCGAATTGTATTGGATACTAGAGTACTTTAGGATGTATAGGATACTAGAAAGATTCTTTTTGAACTTAAACGGATAAATAGCTTAAATATTCAAAGAAACTATTTAATTTTATAAAAAACGGTCAGAAAATAAAATGTTTTCATGTACCTAAAATTATTGAAATCAGTTATTAAGTTTTAAATCATTGCCTATGTTGATGAGTACGAAGATTGCGGTGCTTGATGAAATCTTCAACTGTTTAAAAGTTTGATTAAAAACGCTTATCATTTCAAAAAAAAAAAATTTTTTTTTTCTTCATATTGATTTTTTGCACTATTTTCTGAATTGTCATAGAAGGTTCAATATCTAAAGAGTTCTTGCGAATAATATTTTCACTCCAGTAACAGTTTTTAAAGTAACAATTTTCACTCAATTTTTAACATGTGTCTTTTATCATTAATGGGAAAAGATAAAAATAATGTTTGATTATGTGTATCCTTAATACATGCAAGACCTGGCCAAATTATTAGACGCACTATAAGATTCTATATAAAATATTAATTACTATGTAAAAATCTATGTAAAATCTTTATCAGCTTTATTGTTTTTATATGACGGAAACCGGTTTGCACTTGTTTACGTTAGTGTGTCAATTGGTTAAATTAGACGATATGTAATATAAATTTGACGGTAGAATAAGTTAGACGATATATTATATAAATACAGAATATTTATTATATCAAGCATTATATTAGTATATTACAATAATTAGATCAAATTATTAGACGCACTGTAGCTTTTTAATAATTACATGATTTGAACGAGTTTATACGCAATACTTTTATATTTAAACATAAATGTAATGGGTTTTTATTCAGGAGACTTTCATATACTATACTCGCTATTTGTATTTATTTTTAACATATTGCATTACAATGTTAACCAATTGACACAGGAGCGAAAACAAATGCAAACCTGTTTCATCCGAGTAAAAACAATACAGCTGTATAGTATCACCTGATAATTATAATTTTACATAGGTACGTCTCTAAACTTAACGTTTTTTAACATTTAGGTTCCTTCAAAAAATAAAGTCGCATTGTTTTGTAATTTTTCAAATTACTTTAACAATTAAAAAGTTACATTATCATCAGGATGTTTATGCAATAAAAATTAAAGTTGTAAAGTTGTTTTAATTTTGTTATCATATGAAACCATTAAAGAGAAATTATTATATATAGCCATTATATTACTCCCTGGAATAAAATACGAACTTTTATTTAAATTACTTGACATGGTCAAAATAAATTATTCTATTGCATTAAATAAATAATCCCATGAAACAGAAGAGGTAAGATAATACCAGATTAAAACCTTCATTAGCTACAAAAATATAAAAAGCAAATAACGATCGTTATGTTTCAAGCGCTTCAAAAATAGGCGCCCATTTCCAAGACTTGCCACATGTGAATTAGAAGAAACAAAAGTGATTTGAAATAAAAAAACGTTAAGTCACCAACGAAAAATGGAAAAATAAAGGTGAGAAAAAAATTAGTAAAACCACAGTAGCCAAGAGAGAGAAGAGATGAAAAACGGAACAAGAAAAACCACAGTGGCCGAGAGGAGCAAATCAGGTTGCATTTCCATGAGCTATGGAGAAGTAACGAGAAGCTAACGTAGTTAAAAAAGAAATCAACGCAACAAAGCGTTAACAAGTTTTTATTTCAAATCATTTTTGTTTCTTCTCATTCAATTTTGGCAAATATTGAAAATGGCGGCTTATTTTTGAAGTGCTCGAAGCATGTCGATTGTAATTTGCTATTTACATACTTTTGGAACGAAGGAAGTTTTAAATCTGGTAATATTCTATTACTAAGTTAAGAACGTTGTATTGATTTCCGATAGGCATACATACTTTCTCCTATTCGCTTCGCTCATCAAATCTCATGATTGCAACAATATTTTGTTTGCTTCGACACTAACTAGATTTTTATATTTAAATTAAAAAGTATATAATATTGTAATAATACAGATCTTGTTTTTTAGATTAGTTCTCTATTCCATAGGAATAAAATTTAAACCTAACTATTTTGCGAGGTAATCACTGCAATTTCCTCAACAATTTTTTTTAAAATTCATATTTAGGTTTTAGGTTAGTTATTATAAACTCTTTAAATGCTTCTCCCCAAAGAAATGATTTAGTTATAGGGCCAAACTCAGTTTCTAATGTTTTACAATTTCATATTCAGTACATTAATTGCGTATGTTGAATGGACACACACGGAGAAAAAAAGTATTATTAAATTTACCAGAATATGGTAAAATTTTGGTAAATATAAGGTATCTGGCTCTATGGGGATACCCAAAAAATATTTCAATTTTTACCGAAACGTTTTGGCAATAAATTTTGGCAAAATAGATAAAAAAATAAATATGGTTTTATTATCCTTCTGCTTGATAGTAAATGCTGTAAAATTTGATATTTTTATCAAGATACCTTAGAACATGGAATAAAAAAAATTGATTTCGTTAAATTTACTTTTCAGTTTTGTTTTAGTAAATGTGTGTCCATACGAACTATAATTTTTAAAACCTGAGTTTCCGGTCAAACGTTACCATACAAATGAAGAAATTCCCGAATAAATGGTTTAAATACCAAATAATACGGTTTTATTACAAGAAGTATGTTTTTTTTTATTTTTTTTACCGGAAATGTTGTCATACAAATTTTACCAGATTTTTCTTCTCCTTGCAGTTATGCATAAAATTCCATAATTAAAATTAATATAACTTATTTATTTTTTATAATTATCAAACGGTTAATAAGCTTAGATACCGTTTTAAATATGTCTTGCACAAAAAGATATTATCATCGAACAAGTTTAAAGCAAAGAAGCATCCACTTCTAGTTTTAAGCCTTCAATGAGGAATTTTAATCAAATCAAAACACATTGTTAAGAAAGGATGATAAATAAATCGGCATTTGCATCTTTCAATTAAAGATAAAAAAAAATTTACAACTTAACAGAACTTTTATAACTTTTATTAGTTTTATGTTGGTAATAATAAAAAAATATATATTTGCTGACCGGAGCAAGTTGGCATCTCTGTATATTTTATTCTTGAATAAATAAGTGTTATAGCAATTACAATCCTATGCAAATGATAAATATCAATAAAACGATTTTTTTTCATAGCTTTCACATTTTTAATTCTCGATTATATTCGAGTGTGAAAAATTATAACAGCATAAAATACAACGCCGCTCGAATTATCTCGATCTCGCGACCCCTGCTTAGCGAGCTCGAATTTACTCAAACGCACAAGTTAAGGGGTTAATTACCGCATATTTAGGTTTTATAACCCAAAATTATGTTTTTTTTTAAACCATAAATGTCATTAGTATACAGTACGGTAATTTTACTGGAATTTTTACCAGATTGTAGTCGGAAATCTGTTTAATAGATATTGTATTATGTGGCACACTGGTTAGGTTTTTACAACATTTCCATTCAATATAATATTGTATTAGTAAAAAAATATAAATATATATGATAATAATTTTTACCTCTCATGGGCAGGATGCTTCTGACTGTATTTCCTTGCATAGGACTTTGTCCAGATCTATATTTCTCATATAAATCCATCATATACCGTGGAGGAAGAGTTATATTTTTACCAAAGGGTGAAAAATCTCTTGTGGTACCGGGTTTGAATCCCAGCAATCTCCTCACAGAGTCTTCAATCAAGTCTTCTCTGTTGTTTGCTTGCGATAAATACAGGATCGAACTTGTTGTCAATAGTTGTAGTATAATCGCCAATCGAATTTTTTCCATCATAGCTTTTCTATACCTTTATTTAGGCCAAATAAATCGGATTCTCGCTTGGCGTCGAGTCGAAAAGGCGATTGAAATTTTTTCTCGCATTTTCAGCTTTTCTTTAAAAAAGAAACACACTTTGGGTAATTTTAAGCACCTTTTTTCGACAGATTATCCAACGAATGAAGAATATAGTCTTTTTGGCTTTGTAAGGAACATGATTTAGGGATAAAATCTAAATATATCACCAATTGTTTCATAATTTAAAAGAGGAGAATAAAGTGATTTTAAAACCATGCAGAAGGACATTTTTTTGGTAAAATTTATTATGCAATTGGAAAAGAAGAAAGTTAGAAGGAAGGGCATCTTCTCTCATCTAGTTATCTTCAACATCTCAGTCAAGTTGTTGATCACACTTATTAAGCGATAGACCATCGAAGAAGTTCACCCTAGTTTCTGCCTCATGACCTCATGAAATATTTCGCCAACTTGGCGAGTTTTGCAACCTTAATGTAATTTCCTTAGCATTTTTAAAATACTTGTCAAAGTGCATCATTCTAATTTTGAAAGGATGGTAGATATTTTAATTCATTTTCTTAAAAAATATTTTACTTCATAAAATTTTAATATTTCTAAAAACTATGTTAATTTATTCAAGTAATATTACCTATAATTAATTATATTTAATTTTACGAAGCATTAATAATTTCCAATATTATTTTTTCTAAAAATGTCAGTTTTTTTGAACAAGAAAATAATTATATTAATATTGTCTTAAAATATTACTCTCATTTCGCAAAATATTTAATTAATTAAAAATGATTGGGTGATTGACGATCGATGCAATATTGCTAAGAGAACGAGAAATTATTTTAAAATGTAAAATAATTTGTTGAAACCCGTTAAAGAGTGACAAAAAATTAAAAATTGCGGAAATATTAAAAAAAAAGAATCATTTTTAAATTTCGAATATTATTTTTTATAAAAATGTCAGTTTTTTTGGACAAAAAAATATTTTTTTAAATATCGTCTTAAAATATTACTCTCACTTCACAAAATATATAATTAATTAAAAATAATTGGGTGATTGACGATCTATGCAATCTTGCTAAGAGAGCGAGAAATGATTTTAAAATGTAAAATAATTTGTTAAAACCCGTCAGAGAGTGACAAAAAATAAAAAATTGCGGAAATATTAAAAATCAAGAATCATTTTTAAACAAACAAAGCATTTAAAATTTTTTAAATTGAAATAATAAGTAATAAAATTAATAATAAGTATCTTTTATAAAAAAATTTAAATTTCTTGCAGTACATGAAGAAAAAAATTCTGGTAAAGTTACCGTACCATATGGTAATGATATTTTTGATAAAAAAAATAATGATTCTGGTAAGAGGAAAAATATACAGTATTTTAACCATTCATTTGATAATTTTTCCATTCATAAGGAAACTGCTTACCGCAAATTCTGTTTTTCAAAATTATAGTTCTTATTATCACACATTTAATAAAAAATTGTAATATTAAAATTAAATTTAACCGAATAGATGGATTTTATGCTATGCTGTCAGGTGTCATGCTAAAATTACCAAATTTCACCACATTTATCAAATTTTATCCCATGTTATAAAAGAATATTTCATTGTTAATTTTACCAAAATCATTATTGAAGTGCTTCGATAAAAAATGCCCGCAGTGCCAAAAGCACGATAAATTTTACCATACTTTGGTAGTTATAACCATACTTTTTTTTCTTAGACTAGTTTTCCAACAATATGGCCTTCCAAAAGTCCGAAAATAAAGATTGAGTATTAACCCAAATATGTAAGATGATATCGAATGCAAATTTTTTTTATTTTAATCAGAATTTTATTAAATAAATTTCATTTTTCAAATTTCAAGGAATCAATTTTGCATTACAAAACAGAAAATGCAATCTATTTCCTGTTTTTAAAACAAGAATGGAATCAGCTCGTCATGGATGCTCGTCATGGATGCTCGTCAACAGCAAAAATAAAATAAATTCGGTATTGAAAAAAAGAAATAAAATAAAAATTCAAGATATTTTAAAATTAAGAATAGAGCCAACTGCTACAAAAACAAAAATAGATTCAATTCTTACATTTTAAATCTACAATAGAATTAATTTTCTATTACCAAAACAGGAACACAGAAGATTTCATGTTCTAGAAACAAAGAATGGTATCAATTCTGTAAAAACCAGAATGCAATCCATTCTATATAACAGAAACAAGAACTGAGGATATTATGTATTATAAAATCTAGTGTGGGGAGTCAATTACGTATAATGGATAATTTCATTCAGTGTTAAAAAATACCTAAATGCATAGCACTGGGAAAAAAATTATACTAGCTATCTTTTTCTGTATTTTGGTTCTTTCATCAAATGTGTGAAAGCGTTAATGAAGACGTATTTTACCAACTCACTTAACATGAATAAAGATTTGGAAACTCATTAGTGTTAGAGCAAACCAATGAAAACATTCGATATGTGTGGCTAAAGGTCGACAAGAAAGAGAAGGTCGAATTACAAAACCCTTGACCCTATCCGTTTTGTTCTATTTTGATTCGGTTGCCGAACACGAAGGATAAAAAGGACAGCGCTAAATAAAATTGATTAAAATAAAATAACATTAGAACTAATATGTTGGCTGTGTGGTCTTAGAAACACAGCATTTATCATTTGTTATCAGGATTAAAGCAATTAGCGCGATGAAATATATGTAGCATGATAACTAGTTTGAATCGCAAACAAACGGAAATATCCTTTTTTTATTGAACATTTTATCTCGGCAACTGTAATTGAATGAGACATGTTAATGAAATATTATTTTATTGTTGAAAGCGTATCAGGCTATATCAGTGCAAAAGGGTAAATTGTGTTCAAGAAATTATTATAGTGCAATTTTTTTTTCATATTGATCAGAGTGCTAATAAAATGTAGCATACGAATTTCTCAAAAAATCTTTTTGATACCAGTTTTTTTAAAAAAAAAAAAATAATTTCCTGAAAAAATAATATTTAATAATTATTTATTATTTAAATTATTAATGGTCAAAAATCTCTAAAATTTTTCAAATTATATTAAAGTATCTAATTTTAAAAAGGGAAAAAATCCAAACTTTGAGAAAAATTGAATTAAAACTGTGAAGCATGATAACTAGCTGTTATTGCAAACAAATGGAAATATCCTTCTCACGGTATATTAAACATTTATAAAGTATAGAAAAAATCTAATTTCATAGAAGACTTTTTTAATGAATTAAAGAGTTGCATATCTCCAGGAGTTGTAATAAATAATATTAAAAAAATCATCTTATTGAAAGAATTGCAACGTTTCAAATAAATAAAGGACCTTATCATGGTCTTGAAGGTTTTCAAGATTTTAAAAAGGCTTGGACTGAATATAAATAAATAGTTAAAATATTAAGAGGATATTAAGAGTTGCCAAATCAAACTATTTTCATTGTTTTAAATCTTGTATTTATTAGTAATGATATGTATACTTGTATCCTTGGATAATGATATGTCAGATTTTGATTAACACTTTACCTCTCATTCAATAATAGTTTGTGACCCCTAATCTATATATGTATATATCTCTTATGTGACAGCAAAGATTCAGGTATTTCTCTATCAATTGGCGGCACTATAGCTTTTATTTATTTTGTTAAGTTGCCTTAAGCAAAAATATAAATAGTGTAAAGTTTTATTTTCATGCATCAAGATTTCATTTATATTTATTTTGTTAGGTTTTTTAAAGGGTATAAGTGTTTAAGTCTTAAGTTAGGATTTAATAGCTAGTTTTACGTTAAGAATTTATTTAGAATAAAGTTGTATTTTTAAAATCCAGGCAATCGAGCTCAAAAATGGACGCTACCTGCAAAAAATTGATAGCCTTTTTTTATTTTTGTACATTTATGAAATCATTAATGAGATGTTTAACACGAATCCACATCGCGCAATCACAGCTTTTTCTGGAATTTTTTTTTTACAGAAAAATCCAGGTTTTGTTTCGAAATATCAAGTTGGTGTAACAATTAATAATAGAGCTTTGAAGTTATTAAAAAAAAATTAATTCTCTTCGGGGATCTAGTGAAAATTATTTTAACCCCCTAGGGGATTACTCCCTCACTCTCTCCCTATAAACATAATGTCTCCTAAATATTCTCCAAAATCGTAATTTTTAGGGTCTTCTCCATTTTTGATTTTATGCCTATCTTCTTAAATTGCTTCTCAATTTAACACTCATATAAGTTTTTCACCTCCTCATTAATTTAATAATAATCATTACCCTCTAACTCTTTCTTCCGAATAAACTTAACTTTCTTAAAAACCACGATTTTTGGTCATTCTTTTTTTTAATTTTCATGAAATTAAGTTTGAATTTTGAATTTGTAGATAAAGTTTTAATTCTCCCCCCTCTTTATTTATTTTTTATAAAGAACAAAAATAGCCTCCTTCCCCTAGTGCCTCATCCCTTAAAATCATAAGTTATAAGGACGTTTCTGTTTCAATATTTAATGTTTTTTTTTTAAAATTTTTAAGTTGAAATGTTTTTTTTTATTATCTAACATTTCGAGGCTAATGAAAAGCCTTAATGAAGTAAACATAATAATCTTTCAGAGAAATAAAAATTGGAAAAAAAACTATACTTTCATTTAGTGTGTTTAGTACCGAGTTGACCTTTCATAATAACAATTTTACTTACATTCAAAGTTATCTCAATGGTGATTTGGCATTCAGATTTATTTTCTTAGGGTCAGCATGCGTTATTTTTCAGACCGTTAAGAATGTAGTTACTTAAAATTAAAAAAAAAACATTCAATGGCTTACGGTTTCTAGTGTAAAAAAAATAACAGTAAGTGAGTCATTATATTAAAAAAAAAAAANAAAAAAAAAAAAAAAAAAAAAAAAAAAAAAAAAAAAAAGAGAGAGAGAGAGAGAGAGAGAGAGAGAGAGAGACTATCATTGGTTGTAGTTAAATTGAAGGTTAGAGTCCTGTTGGAGTGAGAAAAAAAGTAATTTAAGCGAGTAATTTAATTTAATTTAAAAAAGTAATTTAATTTAAAAAAGTAATTTAATTAAAAGTAATTAAAGTAAAAATTATCTTATTTCTGACACTATGGGAACATCAGAACGCTCGGAAAATTTTACCGAAGAGCTTTAGTAATGATTTTGGTAAAATTAACAATAAAATATGGTTTTATAATGTGTGACATAATTTGGTAAAGGTTGTAAAATTTGGCAATTTTATGATGCAGGACATAAAAACCATTTATTTGGTTAAATTTACATTTCAGTTTTTTTTTTTAACTAAATGTGCCGTAATGAGAGCTGCAATTTTGAAAGCAAGAATTTAGGATAATCCGTTACAATATGGATGGAAAATTTACCAAATGGAATGTTCAAATATCCTATATTTGGNTAAATTATCAT